GACGAATCCGCATAGCAATGTGTTTTTTGTGATCGCATTGCGATGTTTCTAATGGTAAAGCATCGCTTTGCGATGATCGGTAAGCGTTTCGCTTACTGATTTTCGCATAGCGATTTTTTTTAAACAGCTGTCAGTTCCAAAATGGGTGCCGGGTAAAGAAAATGGCCACCCGCTGTGTTTTCGTGCCCTTTCCTCGCTTACTGGGCAGCGAAAATGGCGGCCACATGGAGGATTTCCGCATAACGGTGAGTTTTTTGCCCATAGGAACGCATTAAACGTGTTTTAATGCGTTCCTATGGGCTTTTTTGCCCCGCATAGCGACAAATCCACATAGCGATGATTTTTTCGGAATGGATTATCGTCGCTATGCGGGGCACCACTGTATACATTACTGAAACAGCGATGTCTATGTTGGCTCGGCCATGTCCTGAGAATGGCTGATGGTCGGATTCCAAAAGATCTCCTGTATGGAGAATTAGTGCAGGGAAAGTGCCCCAGAGGGAGACCACAGCTGCGATACAAAGATATCCGCAAGCAGGATCTGGAGGCCTTAGGAATGGACCTCAACAGATGGGAAAACTTGTCATGTGAGCATTCAGCATGGAGGCAGGTAGTGCATCATGGCTTCTCCCAATTAGAAGATGCACTTGTTCAGCAGGCCAAGGCCAAGAGGCAGTCCAGAAACCAGCAAAATCAGGGGACAGACTATTTGTCTTCAGTGTGGAAGGGATTGTCACTCTTGAATTGGCCTTCTCAGCCACACTAGACGTTGTTCCAAGACTTCTATTCAGAGCATGTTACCATAGTCTCTTGAGACTGAAGGATGTCTACATACATATTTTTGTTACTGAAAAATAAGGAATATACTGCATACCGTGGGTAAATATAATCATTAATCTTATTTATTTTATTTATTTAACTTATATGATGCCCACTCTACCCAATTGTTGTAGGGCAGCCTACAACAATTAAAATGCAATTAAAAAGATAAAGCAATTAAAATACAGTTAAAATATATACTCTAAAAATTGCCATCAGGACCCACAGTTGATATTATTTCAATTAAAAGCCTTCTGGAACAGGAAGATTTTGACCTGGCACCGAAATGTCATCAGCGTTGGGGCCAGACGAATCTACACTGGGATGGCGTTCCATAGTCTGGGGGCAGCTGCCGAAAAGGCCTTTTGTCTACAAGCCATCCCTCTTACCTTGAGGGAATGGCACTTTCAAAAGGGCCTCCTGGTTAGATCTTAACTGCTGGGTAGGTTCATATGGAAGGAGGCAGTCCTTCAGGTATCTAGGGCCCAAGCGGATTGTGTACCAATCATCTTTCAATGACTGATACACAATCTACAGTATATAGTGAAGAGTCACAAAAGGTGTGAGGCCCAGAACTCTAAACAGGACCAGCCAAAAACTTTAGCTGCCTGAGGCCAAGACACTAATGACACCTTCCGGTGCAGATCACCCAAATTTTAGATAATTTTGGTACAGGAGGCAGATTTTTCAGATACATGTGTGTTATCCATTGCCAAGTTGTTTCTGAGTTATGGAGGCCTTAACAGGGTTATCAAAGTGTGAGGGGTATTTAAGATGTGACTTTACCATTGCCACACACACCCCAATGTGTTTTCATGGCTGAGCAGGAATTTGAACCTAGGTCTTGAACCACGCTGGCTCTTTATTCAGGCATAACAGGCAGAAAATCCTTCAAATGCTTCCCTAATGTCTAGTGTGGGGGGGGGGAACCAAGATGACTAACAATGTGTTGTCCTTTCACAAGAAATCTGCAGCCCAAAGCAGCAACCCCCTTGCCTGACAATAGGGCTGGCCCTAACTTGAAAACCTCAGAGACAAGCTTTGTGAGGAACTATGGTGCAATCATAGGCTGCTACTGAATCTTACTGAATGCTAAAACTTACTTCCAAGCAAACATGCACAGGATCAGGCATAAGCCAGAGAGGGATGAAAAGATTTTGAGGAGACACATGGATATTTAAGCATGCTAGTGATGCCACATTCCAGCCCAACAACGTAATTTTGCTTCCAGGGCACATGAGATTGGAAGATAACATGCAGCACCTTTTAGGGCAAACATGAGAAAGGTGACTTGCACAGGAAGATAAAGGGCAACGGCTCGTGTCACCTTTCTCGTGTTTTCCCTAAAAGGTGCTACGAGCCGTTGCCCTTTATCTTCCTGTGCGAGTCAAAACAAGAAAAAATGCATGACAATGAGTGTGAGGTCCCACAATCAAGTCACCAGCACAGAAGACTGGGGGGGATCTAAATGGGGTGGCAATCACCCACCCACCCTTGGTGGAAACCACCAACTACATACTATGTGCAGGATGAAAGATATACTGTATTATCATTTATCCGTCCTATGAAGAGAAGAGTTTGAAAACTTAGCAGTTGGATAAGAACTACACAGCACAGAAGACTGGTGGGGGATCTAAATGGGGTGGCAATCACCCACCCACCCTTGGTGGAAACCACCAACTACATACAATGTGCAGGATGAAAGATATATTATCATTTATCCGTCCTATGAAGAGAAGAGTTTGAAAACTTAGCAGTTGGATAAGAACTACATCTTTCCCTCCCTCCCTCCCTCCCTTCCTTCCTTCCGTCCTTCCTTGGGTTAATAAGCAATTTGGTTCTGTAAAAATGGTGAGCTGTCAAGTTGATTGCAACCATCATGAGGTTTTCTTGGTATAAAGTACAGTACAGTACTCTGAATCCTTTCCTTCCTTCCTTCCTTCCTTCCTTCCTTCGGTTAATAAGCAATTTGGTTCTGTAAACATGGTGAGTTGTCAAGTTGATTGCAACCATCACGAGGTTTTCTTGGTATAAAGTACAGTACAGTACTCTGAAGAGGTTTACCAGTCCTTTCTTTCAGCAGTGCAGTTAGCACAAATCTATAAAGGTAGCAGGGCATATAACTCCATCAGCCACACATGCTCAAAAGGATCTCAGCTGCCCCCTCTTACAGGAGGCACATGGGAATTCTAACTTCCAGTCCTTGACCCCACAACCAAGACCCTAACCCACTAAGCTATTCTACCTCTTTCTGTGCATGTAATAATAACAATCATAATTGCATGTGTCAAGTCAATTCTGATTTATGGTGACCCTTTTCAGGGTTTTCTAGATGCCAAGTACAGTACTCAGAAGTGGTTGAACATTTCCTCCTTCTGAGGGTACCCTGAGACTATGCAGCATGCATGAGGGGACACAGGCTAGCTCTTCTCTTGGGATGTACCGGGGGGGGAGGTCAAACTCCCAGCTTCTGACTCCACAGCTAGACACTTGATTCACTTAGTTACACACATGTGTATATTACATCCTATCAACCCAATCACAAGCATCCAGTGCCTGAAGAAACAACCTTATTCTGTCCCATGGTAGGACCAGCTCTGTAAGATGACACTGAACTAAATTCTATTCAGCTGGCTGTCCAACTGGACTGCCAGCAAACTCCATTGTCAAACCTGTTGCTTCCACTTCTAAGTTCTCTCAGACTTTAAGTCTGGCTACCCCAATATTTTATAGACAAAAATAGGAAACTACTGGGTATTTGCATGCCTGCTATTCATTTATCCTGCAACCAATTGTCATGCACCACCTTCTGAATCAGGCAATACTGTATAACCAAATAGCTTGGGACTTCTGAGGTGCAGGAAGGATTAGAAGTTTTGCACTGGTCATCTGTGACCTTGCATTCACATGTATATTTGCTGGAGCCAAATTGAATGCACAGGTCTTGCTAGAGAACTACAGTCAGAATGCAACTTGTACAAGCAGAGGGAAGGAAGTGAGATTTGAAGTGAGAACACTCCCCCCCCAGCCCCAAAAGGTAAAAAAGGTGGTGTGAAACATTGTTTTTAACTATTCAGTGGTCTTGCTTAGTTTTCTGAGTTCTTTTTTAAAAAAAATCAGGAGCGTACCTATTTTAAAAAGAAGGGAAGAATGCTTATGTGTACCCATGTTGCAACTGCACTTCAAGCGCACACACACACAAGGTCCCTACCATCACCAAACCCACAAAAAGGATGTTTTAGAAGGAGCGGTATAAGAAAAGAGTCCCTTTTGCTGGTAGACAGAGACAATGGGAAGATATAGACCTGTGGGGTGCAGACTGCCACCAACCTCCATTGTCAGCTACCAGCATCTTTCTGCTCTACAGTTAGCAGGCTAAATAAATATGCAATTCCTACAAGGAGACACAAACAAGTTGTTAATGCCCGAATCCAAGTACAGTATTGCCTGCAAGATTCACCCGTGTGGGTTAGAACTTTTGGTAAATGTGATTAAGGTCTGATACTGCAAAAGATTTCCTCTCCCAAGTTAGTGTCTTTTAGATCTGAATAAACACCTATGCTGCAACCTCATGTCTCGGTTGAGGGAGGAACAAAGCCCAAAGTTCTTCTTCCTGATGTTATTTATCAAAGAGTGTCGGTTTCCTCCTATGACGACATGCCCTTTTCTTATCTCTGTGGATACCACATTGCTGCAGGCTACGGTGTGGGCGGTTTTACTTTGCCCCCCCCAAAGAAAAACTCCTTAAGAACTACTGTACAACTCAGACCATGCCAAGATGTAAAGGCATTGTGAGGCAAAACGATCGGAACCCCAGATCTAAATTCCCGTCCTGATTTTCCTGTTCGGGAAGCGTGTATAGACGAAAAATACATTCCCACGTAACGCGGCCAAATCCCAGGCAGAGAGGCTAACATTCGTCAGGAGAGTTAAAGCAGGTTAGAAAACTTGGGACTTTGCCCCGGAAGTACAATCTGGGGCAATGACGTGTTTCTGACAAAGAGATCCGGAACGTTCCGAGAATTTCATACAGTCTTCATTTCCTGTTCCCATTCGACTTCTCTATAAGGGGGATAATCGTGGAAAGAGTACCGGAAGTATTAAAACGTAAACGCATAAAATATGGAGGGGGTGGTGGAAGAGAGGAAAAATCGTGCAGTAAGTCTTCTTCCCTCCCCCTAAAGTTATTGGAAGCCTTTGAAAGTGCTTCTTTCTTTACCTTTGGAAAACGGAACAGACTAATTGATCAGCCCTCCCGAATATCATCTCTTACTTGTACTGTAAATAAATGCAAGGAGGAATAACGGCTTGGGACATTCAAATATTACCGCCTCTTTTCTATTGAGCCGGAACAATAAAAGCAACAGCTCAATATCTGTTCCCATTTTATACTGGCTTGACGGAGAGAAAGGAAAATAAGAAATGGGGACTCTAATTTGGAAGAATCGGCGAGTAAGGACGCGGATTTCCATGGCCGGGAAATAAAAAAAGAGGCCATTGAACCGATTTAGAAAATGCATTATAGCCCAAAGCGCTGCAAATTTTCACTCAAAAGTAAACCCACTGAATGCAACTTAAACTCACCGCCAAGCATTGTAAGAAAAGTTATTTAATTTAGCTTTCAAGGAGGCACAAGTCGGAATCTACAGGTTCCCGCACAACCTGTACATCTGACTAGAGAATATTGGCATTACACTAGGGAAAAAAACGGAGATTTGATACTACAAAGATCCCACGAGTTTAATTGGAACCACGCTTTGAGATTGTAGGGACTCTAGGTAGGCATTATAGGAGGGGAAACCCATCTGGTTATACTTTTTAAAGACAAACCGGACAGAATCCTGTTGCACTGTCCCCCCGGCGTCTTTATTGGGGGGACTATCTGTTGAGTTTCTACCTGTCACAAGCCTTTATAAGCATGGCAAGTCCTGTCCTTGCTCTTCATCCCCGCGTGCCTTGTTTTATAGCAGTGCAGTGGAAGGACAGAAGATGCGATCCTTGGAAAGTATTGTAACAAACAAAAGTGCAGAAGAGAGTGAAGATTATAACTGAATTAGTTTGGATAGAATTATTGCTTTTTGGATTTAGGGCGTGTTTTTTTAAAAAAAATACATGAGCAGGGGGTGAAGGTAAGACCATTTTAAAGCATCGCAACAAACAAGAGAAGATAAAAATTACATCATTTGATTTTAGAGTACATGCATGACCAGGCAATGCCACCACTCTTGCCCCGCACATGGATGACTCCTGCCAATTGTTACAGTAAACTACTGTACAGTATGTGTCTTACGATCCAACTATTCAAGAGCGTAGCCACTTGGTCTCGCGCGACGTTGCGGGAGTGACCCCTTCGACCCAAAGCCTGCCGAGAGCACGGCACCTTTGGCACTACATCTCCCGTCGTGCCATGCGCTCCGCTTCCGAAGCGTTCCCAGGCATTCTGGTCATTGTAGTCCGTTGCACTGGGAGTCGGCTAAAGATTGAAAGGGCCGAAGTACTACATCTCCCGGAAAGCCTCTGGTCCTTTTCGCCCCGCCCTTCACGGCCGCTCTCCCCGCAGCGGAGCCGAGCGGAGTAAAATGGCTGCCGCAGAGGCTGGGCCCGGACAGTATCGGCGGCAGTGGCCGCGCCTCCTCCTCTTCTTGTGCTAAAGTGGGCGGGCAGAAGGGCCTAGCATCCCGGTGGAGCCGGGTAATTATGGCAACTCTTTGAGAGGGATGTTGGTTAAAAGAACGGTACAGTCGTCAGGATATGGGATGCTGGAAGTATTAATTTATTTTGGGGGGGTGGGGGAGATATTAGAGGTACGCAATGCAGGGGCGAGGGCTGAAAAAAAGGACCGAGAGGGAGCTCGCTTGCGGTGACGTAAGAGAAGGTCGTGAGGTGAACCCTTTAGAAATTTGGGGGGGGGGAGGTTTGTAATCTGGGGAGGAAGAGTCAGGCGAACTGATTTGGGGTTCAGCGTGAAGTGGAGACGCTTCACATAGTCATGAGGGAGGGGCAGGTCCCATTGGGATCCCTGAACTGTGTCTGTTTCGTTGGGGGGGGTTGTGAAGGGAAAGGCCCAATAAATGGGAAGGGATAAGTATGGATGCAGTCTTAAGCATACTGACTAGTGTGTAAATCCCCCTGAACCCAGTGAGATTTCCTACCCCAGGTAACATATGACAGACCAGGCTTTGTTTGTCCTAAAAAGGAAGAGCATTGGGGCTGTGATCAATTAAAAAAAGCACAATGTAAAAGATTGAGGAGCCTGAGGCCTGCAGATCTATATAGGAGATGGTGATATCTCAGTGTGGCTTGGAGGTGGGCTTTGGCAGAATTATCAAGGTCCCTTTGGTGGTATGGAAGCAAGGAACTGATTGTGGCAGCATTGGATTTCATTAGAGTTTGTTGGGTAGCGTTTTCGTGCAGGAAGAAACTGGGCAATCAGAGCAACTTCGACAAAGTCCAGTATTGTGTGTTCCGGGGGTGGGCAACTTGGTGTTGTTGGACACCAGTGCCCATCACTCCTTGTTGTAAGTTATTCAGGTTAGGTGTGATGGGAACTGGAGTCTGAGCAACCTGAAAGGGCATGGGAAATTTCTCATTAGTCCTAGTTAGAGTAGTCATCTTCTATTAGCCCTAGCTGGAGTAACCGTTAGTGAGGGATGATGGGATCTGCAGTGCAATATGCTTGCCAACTCTCATGTCCTTCCAAGATTTCACATAGAGAGGTTTCTCAACTGCCTGATTTTTTTTCAATCTTTTGCATACAAAGCATGTGCTGTGTCACTTTGCCAAAGTGGCTAATAATGAAGGAGATTGGTTATATAAAGGATGAGAATTGTATGGTTGCAATGACACTTAGGTTAAGAGTAATATTTAGTGCAGAGAATAACATATAATGAGAAGTAGGGAAGGGCAAGAAACAGTGTGGAGAGAAAGGGGGCAAACAAAAGTGAATGTTTGTTGGTTGTTGTGGGTTTTTGGGCTGTTTGGCAGTGTTCTGAAGGTTGTTCTTCCTGATGTTTCGCTAGTCTCTGTGGCCGGCATCTTCAGAGGACAGGAGAAGGAACTCTCTCTGTGCTCTGTTGCTGTTCATTGGATAGTTGAGTATTTATAGCTGTGGGAACAGTTTTTGTCTTCTTCAGGAGATTAGGTGATTATGGTGATCACCGTGTTTTTGTTGTGGATGTATTGCTGTGGTAAGGGGGAGAGATTATCTGTCACTGTAATTGATGAGTGACCTTAGCTGGTCTTTTGTGTGCAATGATCCTTGGTCCTTGTGGCTCAGTCAAGTTTGTTGACCTTTTCCAGGCCGTATTTTTCAGTGCTGGGAGCCAGGCCTTGTTGAGTTTTAGACTTTCTTTTTTGTTGAAGCTGTGCTGGTGTTTGTGGATTTCAGTAGCTTCCCTGTGCAGTCTAACATAATGATTGCTGGTGTTGTCCAGTACTTCAGTATTTTGAAATAGAATTTCATGTCCAGCTTGTTTTAGGGCATGTTCAGCTACTGCCGATTTTTCCAGTTGTTTTAGTCTGCAGTGTCTCTCATGTTCTTTGTTTCTGGTGTGAACGCTGCGTTTTGTGGTTCCAATATATACCTGTCCAGAACTGCAAGGTATCCGGTATACTCCTGCAGTGGTGTGGGGGTCCCTTTTGTCCTTTGCTGACGGTAACATTTGTTGTATTTTTGTGGTGGGTCTGAATACTGTTTGTAGGTTATGTTTTTTCCAATAGTTTCCCCATGTGGTCCATGACCCCTTTGATGTATGGCAGAAATACTTTATTCGTGCGTGGCTGTTTTTCCTCTTCAGTTTGGTGTTGTTTTCTTGGTTTGATGGCTCTTTTGATTTCATTCTTGCAATAGCCATTTGCCTGTAGGGCCCAATTCAGATGGTTGAGTTTGGTGCTGAGAAACTGAGCTTCACAGTTCCGATTTTGCTTATGCTTCCTTTTTGTCATGGGTGATGGTTGGAGTTTTTGTGTACGTCTGTGTGGGTGGGTTTTCTGTAGACCTTGTGTCCCAGTCGGAGGTCAGTTTTGCATATGACCATGACATCTAAGAAAGGGATGTCTTCTGGAAAGATCTGCTGGAGGAGCATCAGAGTGTCCTTTATCAGTACTTTGGTGAATAGGGATACTATGTCAAAGCAGATCAGTCTGTCTCCAGACTTGAGTTTTAGGGTGCTGATCTTGCTTATGAAATGTCCTGAGTCTTTGACGTAGGATGAGGTTTGTCCAATGTGGGTCTGTAGGAGGGTGGCTAGGTATTTTGCTAATTCATATGTCGGGGAGTTGATGGCACTTACAATGGGCCTGAGTGGGATTGTGTCCTTGTGGATTTTAGGGAGTCCATGGCTACAAGGCTAAAGATACTATTCAAACACAGTGTTGTCACAAGGCTTTAGGGATCTCAGTAGGTTGGTAGAATGACACGTTCAAAGTAACATGACAGCAGAATATTGAGTTTGGGTTTCAAATAGGAAATAAATAGAATGGTTTATTTGTCACACCATGGCAGGATCATGAGCTGATAATGTGGTGGGCTTTTTCTTAAATCTTTGAAATAAAGTTTTTTAACAATAAAAGAAAGTTTTGGATATTGGACTTTGGGTTCAGGGTGGGGAACAGATTATCTATCAGTTAGATAAAATCATAATAATTGTGAAGTAGGTTTAGCAGTCTTGTACCTGGCACATGTGTTGTACTGCTGTTCCTATAATTTTATAATTAGCTAGTCCTGGCTAAGGTTTATGGAAGTTGTTGTCTAAAACTTATGAAAAGTATTAGGTTGTGGAAGATTGGTATAAGGGGCCAGAAGCATCATCTTGGCATGCAGAATATAGCAGAGAACTGCATCAATTAAGCAATTATTTCAAAGAAGAAACTGAGAAAAAAATAGAAATTTGAGGGTCTTGTCTGTTCTTATCACCTTGAAAATTAGAAAACAAGACCTCTAAATACTGTACTATCATATCCCACGCAGCCTTCATGCAGCCTTCGATAAGATTTTACATTGACCCCATCATTATACTGGATTTTAAGTTGGAACTTTGCAATTCTACCCGTGATTCTTCATCTTTAACATACTCATCTTAGGCATAGCACGGCCCACTCTAGTTGAAAATAAAAAGTTTCCTGTATATGCTGAGAAGTTCTTATGTTTTTGTCATAGCACTCCTTTACAATGGTGAGCTTTGGTACACAGAAGGGTGTGTGGAGACCAGCCCTGATTTTCCTCTTTCCTTCTACTACCTTGAAGGTGGCTAGCAAAATGACTTAAATCATTTTCTTTTTCTGCAAGGGAACGCTGAGGAGAGATGATAATCTGAATATGGAATAGGAAGCCTTTTTCCTCTTATCTGAGTGAATTAGTTGTTGTCTTTGTGACTGAAATATGAGGATGTCATCTGAACCAAATGGGTTGTATTTTCTTGGTTAATAATTAGACATGCATAATTAGAATGTGGCAGTGGCTTCCTTATTCCATTCCACCTCCACATTTTCCCTGGTTACTTAAATATGGGCAATACAGATCTAATGCTACATCCAAGCAGTAGATACTGGCAGAGTTTCCTGTGACAGAAGGGGTACATGGGAACATGGGTTGGGAGCTAGACCTCTTGCAATCTCTGGTAAGGAACTGCATGAAGGCGGGAGACTTGTTTCAAGGCAAGATGCTAGCATTCAAATGTCTATGCACGTAGAGTACTTTCTCCCTAACTAATGCAGGAATAGTGTTCTTGCAGTCCACCAGATGTTCTTGGACAGCATTATGTCTTTGCAGGTATGGATGGCAATCCAACAGCATCTGGAGGACTCTACATTTGCTGCTTCTGATCTAGTGCAAGAGGTTGGCTCTGAAGTGGGCAAGTTGATCATAACTTTCACATATCATTAATACCTCACTCCTGTTAACATCCAGGCTTTGCAGCTGTGGAGACATGGAAGAAGAAGAGAATCGTGGCTCTCCAGTAAGGGAGGATCCTACACGAAGTGGTGAGAAGCCGGCCAGTGAACCCTCTCTTGACTCGGATTGGGACCAATCAGGTGCCCTCTGTGATGGCCAAGTGATAATTTTGGTAATGACCGTTTTGTTTCTCATGACATAGTGGGTTGGAGTTAGTGTAGGTATAACCACTGCTTACTGATCCTAGCTAGACAGAGCAGCAGATGCTGGGAAACTCATAACCCCCCTCAGGATGAATGTGAGGAATGTGTTTGGGGACAATGGTAGCATCTTTGTTCAGAACATCAGTTTGTGTCATCACAGTGAGCTGCTTGGGAGATGTGAATGAGTGCCTGAAACTATGTTTATCATATGCATTTGTATTGTTCCAGGTGGTTATCTTGAAGATTTTCTCTCTTCCACATTTTTTACAAAAGCTATTGTTAATCCTGTGCCTTATATAAGTATGTAGCTAATGCTTTTTTCTTGATACTCCTGTTCTAGAGACGTTGTCTATAACAGTCACATAGGCCTTAATATCCTTTTCATGACTTCCAGGTTTTTGCATAGAAAATGTTTTTATTGGGTACGTGCGTATTTGTATCAGTGAAGTGTCAGGTGTAGATGTATTTGCACACTGTGCTAAACGTGTTCCCACTGAATGGGCACATTTCAAATTGTTTTTGAGACTCAGTGTACCATTTAGCCATGTAAAGTTTAGCACTTGTGTTATTCCTAGAACATAATTGGTTTTCTTCCTGAGAAGCTACATGGTCGTTTTTTATTTCCTGAGATAGTTGCGAAGGAGAGGGAAGATCTGAACCAGAGAAGAAATTTGGCACAGGTTGCGAAGGAGAGGGAAGATCTGAACCAGGTGCAAGAAGAAATTTGGCACACTGACGTAGTGCACAGACTAGCACAGAGGAGGTAGGACCAAAAATGGTCAAGTGTTGCTCTGACTTGGTGGTTCCCAGCCTTGGGTCCCTAATGTTCTTGAACTAAAACTGCTGCCCAGGATTTTTGGGAGTTATAGTCTAAGAACATCTGGGGACCCAAGCATGGGAAGCATTGCTCTAAATTGAGAGAGAGAGAGAGTGCTGCTGAATCCATATGTGGCCGGAGATAACCTATAAGAAACGTCTTCTTCCGTATTTCAAATAACATGCCTTGGTGAAAGGGACTTCTTTCCTTTCATGATGTTTTGTGCTCAGCACCTTATTGAAATAGATGAAGGGGAGTTTGTGGGAGAAGCAGGAAACGTGGTATTGACATGTTTGCTTTTCTGCCAGTGGATCATGACCAGAGGTGCAAGAAGAAAAATGCTTAACTCCCTTGGACAATACCTTTTGGGAGCCTCTTGTATGTCTTAGCTCTTTCCCCTGACACTTTTCCACTGCTGCAGAATTCTATATTCCTTATTAAAAGTGGGTACTCTGTGTATCCTGTCAGTTCAAGTCTTGTGTATGCAGAAACATAAGGATTTGGCATATTTATTTCCTTTTTGTAGGAAAATACTGTGTAATGCATGAAGAAAGTAGGTGCTAAGAGAAAAGAGACAATAAATGCCAAATTTGTAAACCTCCTGTGCTAATCACTAAGAGTGAACCCAGTCCCTTTGTGGTTCTAAGCCATGAAACTGTCCATGTTGTCTTTTGCTTTCTGCATATCTAAGGGCTAGATATCTTTCTTCTCCAAGCCTGGAGCTGAACTTTGCAAACTTCTGAAGAAACTGCAGATGTTTTGCAGTGAAGTTCATTGTCTTTGCTTCTTGGCATCATGATCATAGCAGTAAGGAGACAGGTTGTGCTTTTAAAGCCCCCACCCCAGCCAAAAATCAAGTTGTACAAGTAAAAATGTCATACATGAATGTATCAGATCTTAAGAAGAACCTTTTTTTTCCTTTTTTTAGTCTAAGCTCTTCTGAGAAACAATGGAATATGAAGAGCTTATTCAACTGCTGATGGTTTATATTGAGCAGTTGTAATCACCTAAATTTTTTTTATATTTTATGTAAAGTAACCTATATTTTTAGACTTGTTCACATGTGAAATCTATGGAATTTAAGTAAATCAAGATTGGCTCAAGTACCATGAATTTCAGTTGATCTACTAAGTACAAGCCTGGATCTAATCCAGCCAAATTAATTTAAATGGCTAAAACCTCAGGAGTCTTAAAAACTACAACAGACTTTCTTAAACTGAGATCTGCAGAACGGTGGTCTCGAAGGTCTAATCATGTCGTGCATGAAAAGTTTGCAGAGCAGTCTAAAATATTTATGTTTGGTGCTGTACTTGATAATTCCCCCCCCACCCTCAACTGAGATCATCAGGGCCAGGTTGTTGAAGATGCTGACAGCATCCAAGCCTGGAACCTGTGACTTTCGTACTATACTGCTGGATTTGATAATAATAATGACGATAATGACAATGCTGGGAGGAAGAAAACACATTGCCAGCTTGTCCAAGAGACTCGGAAGTGTTCAAGTCTGATGTGGGAGAGTGGTTTGAGAACAACTGAACCAGAGGATTAAAGGATATAAAACTAATGTCCTAATGTAAAGCTACAGACCTTGGACTACAAGGTCTGTAGCCCTATGGGTCATTTGGACTATAACCCTGCAGTCTGTTGTCATTGGCCATGCTGGGTTGGGCTGGTGGGACCCACAAGCTAGAACACCCGCAGAGTCAAGTGTTCCCAAGGCTATTTGAATAAAAACCAGGAGCTCTTATCCATCCTCTTTAGCCTTTTTTTAAAACCAATAGCTGCTTTACTATGGTTGATCTTAATTGGGTTAGTTGAAGCAAGCCATATTTGCACACTGGTTTGAAGCTGCTTTATTTCAGTTGACATTTGTTAAGATTATCCAGTTTTTGTTGAGGTTCTGATATAATACCGAACTGTGGTTAGTGAAAAAAATGGGAGTACAATATCCCATATTCTTCTCCCTGTCTTAGTTAAGCAAACTTTGGGTTTGTTACCTCGTGCAATATATATGGCCAGTACAGTATCATTATGTATTGTTGCAGTATCATTATGGCCAAGGCTAATATAGCAGTGTGTACATTGGAACCTTTTCCCCCCTACTCATGTACAAAGTCTTTTTTAGTAACATATACTTTGCATCCTGGGTACTATTCTTGAATCCAGCTCTGCTTGCTTTTATTATAGATAAATTCTTATGCTTCAGTACCCTTTCATTTACTACCAGAAATACTTTTATGTTGTTAAACCGTTATATGAAAAGACACAACATAACCATGTTTATTTAAGATAAATATTTTTGTCTCCATTTACTCCCTATTTGTGTTCAGAACATAATTTCTGGATTCATCTCTCTTTTGCTTGTGTTTCTGCATTTTCACTTTATTTGCCCATAGTTAGAACTTTTCATCTTGTTTGGTAAGCCCTCAGAAATTTCCAGAAATCAAGACCTGTAGGAGAGAACCATTTTCAAGATCAGCCTCTCACATCAGCATGTAGAAACTAAAAATCCACTAGCTCAACAGTGTGCTTTTATTTTATTTAAACAAGTTTGGAATAAACCCAGGAGAAAAGGCACCTGTTGTATTTTCTTTGGATAGATATCTGTGGAATTTCAGTTCCAGGATTCCAACTCCCATTATTCCTAATAGGCATGCCCAATGGTCAGGGAAGGTGGGGTATAGCCTGACAACATCTGGAATGCCTCAGGGGCCCCCTTCATGTCATACCCTGAACAATAATGGTATAAAAACAGCTGTTTTAAACTCAAGAGATTCAGAGATAAATAATTGACTGGAAGACAGAAGTATATGTAACATTTTACTGTGAAGCAAATCACTTAGTTCTCCCTTTTTCAGAAAGAGGAGATTCTTTTTGTTTGCCTGAACGTTAATATACTGTATGTATCTGGATTTTAATGTTCAGCAGCCTGCAGAGCAAATGCATTCACAACCCCGTCGCTTGGCCTTTCTTCCAAGGGGATAAAGAATAAATGTTCTAAAATTGCAAACTTTTGGGACATATGAAGGAAAGCAGGCAAAAGGGACAAAAACTAGTCTTCTGGTGCTGGAGTACCTCAGATAAGTCAAGCTGACTCAAACAATGTTGTGGTCTCCTATAGGTACAAGACACAATACAGGTTCAGCTGGTTGGTAGCAGAAGTGAAGGTGTTAGCTCAGTCCTGGATCCTGAAACCTGGCTGAATGACTAAACAACCTGTGCAATAGATTGCTCTTTGTTTTTAAAAGATCCAACTAGCACTGGAAACAACCTACAAAAGGGAAGTTCCGGATCAGTTCTAAATAGGGAAAATTCTGTTTGTCCCAGGTTACTAGATCAGGGGTAATGTGCACATTTGGCATTAACCAAATGATTTAACTTTTGAAAGATTCTTTTGGGGATCTGAGGCATTTACTGTACAGAAGTTCCGTTCTTTTTATACCTCTTATTTTGATGCTTCATTTATCAGGTTGGGACGTGTTTAGTAACTACTGTAGTACCCATGCATGCTTCAGGTCTGATGGTTTCTTGTAATGTAGCAGGTTGTTGCTGTTATTACTGTTACTGCATACCTACAATACGGAAGACAGTAGGCTTGAAAAAAGATCCTAAATCCTTAACATGTCATGATTTATTCTGTCAAACACCCACACATAAGATTTTTATCCTTTTGCTTTCATTCTGTTGCACAGTTTGACTTTTTCTCCATTCATTCTCCCCATCTGGATATATTCAGTAACAGTTTAGTTGGGTATTTGTCAGTTGCAGTTCTTGATATTCTGTAGGAGGTGCTAACCGCAGCCCCCCCCTTTTTTTTTAATCCTTGCAGAAAGCTTTGCGGCAAGCTGTGGGCACTGGCTTGGCAGGTGAACTACAAGATCCAGCGAGTGAGAAAGGTACTTCAGAACCTAGAGTTAGATAGAGGGGTGGAAGAGTTTATGGGGAAAGGGTGGGAGGGGTAGTACCTTCAGCAGCAGAAATCTCTTGCCTGAAAGACGACAAAACTACATAACTGTGACACATGCGGTTCTGTGGCTGCAGAATGGGGTGAGGTTGGGATGGGAGTGTTGCTTTGGTGAAATTGTATGGCCTGTGTTGTTGGTACTGAATGTGCCTAATTTTCTGTGAGTAAGCTGCTTTGTTGACCCTTCCTGCCTCATGCCCTTCAGAGGTATTGGATTACAAGTCATATCCACAACAGCTAGGATGATGGGAGTTGTAGTCTGACCCACAGGGACGGCACCATCTAAGGGGAGAGCTGCCAGATACCAGCCATCTGGACAAACTGTCAGTTTCTAAATTTTGAGATAATACTTGTTAATGTCTAGATACATTTCTTTGTACCACAGTATGATCTGGCATAGACATTGTATTGTTGCTGCTACTGCTGCTGCTAAACATTCAGGTAACAGAAATTCTCATATTTTGCAACACTCCCAGAGATCAGCCAGTGGATTTAAATCTGCCTTCTGTCCACTCCTGGACTAGACAACATCTGACTTCTAATATCTGTGTAATGGATATGCAACCTTTATTTGGAACTGATATTTTGCCTCCCATTGTTGAGAAAGATTTCCCCAGCCTTCTGCTTTCCTCAATCTTCTGTCTGCTTGACGTGTTGGACTACAACTCCTATAATCTCCGCCATCTTGACTAGTGGCCAGGCTGGTTGGGGTTAATGGGGGTTATTGTACAATGTTTCTGGAAAACAAGTTGGGGAAGATTGTTACCCAGATGAATTGTGTGTGTTCACCATTTGGCAATGGTGCTTCTTGGGGTCTAGGGCAAGAGTGGAAAAAGTACA